GGGAAACAGTGGCTGAATGCGTAATGTTGCCTTCGGAGATTGCTTATGGTCGAACGAGAGAAATACGTAAGGATCTCTTTGGGAGGGAATATATGGTGGCCAGAGCCATACTGAACAATCTGTTCAAGAAATTGAAACCGGTGCATGACCATGCAGATTCACTATCTCGTTTATCGATAAATCTTTAAAACTGTCACGTTTCTCTAAGACAGATGAATCATACAAGCGACATGAATTCCGTCTCGAACATAGAGCGTATTCTCCGTACGTTATCGAAGGAAGCTCGTCGGAACTGGGCAAGGTTGGTTGACTCTATGGACAACCTTGGAAAGCAGATGGGTTTCTCTGACCTGTGCAACTTCGTTGCTCAAGAGGCCCGCATTCCTCGCAGCCGCTATGGTATGCTTACCATGGGCTCAGAACACCGTCGTCCTCAAACGTAGCGTCATCGGGTGGGCAACGAAAGGCACCATAATGTACTCGCCGTTCAGAAGGGAACCGATGACTCGTGCCCTTTTTGTGACAGAGGGCATGGGCTGGCGCAATGTCATGGGTTTACTGACCTGCCGACGCAAGCAAGATGGCGTGTGGCGAGAATGAAGCGGTTTTGTTTTGTGTGCCCAAAGCCAAGCCATGCTAGTAACAAGAAGTGTGGTATAGAGAGCTGCTTGGGGTCTCACCATCATCTGTTGCATGTAATGCCGGATGCCAAGAAAACCACACTGGTTGGTTTATGCAACTCGATATCTCAGACGGAGTCAGGAATCTGCCTTGGCGTCGTACCGGTTCGTGTGAATGGCCCGCAAGGCAGCGTTCTCACGTACGCATTGTTGGATAGTGGGTCGGACGTAACATTGGTAACGAAAAACTTACTTGATGAGGTCGGTCTGACTGGCACTTCAACAACTTTGAATTTATCTACAGTGAGTGGAACCTCCACTGTGGAGGCTGCAAGTCTCAGAATTGTGTTTGAATCGGCATATTCAGGTGAGACCGTAGTGACTGAACAGGCCTTTGCAATGCGCTCTCTGCCCATCAGCCCACCGGTCGTGAGCCCAACGAAGATAGCTAGCCAATATAATCACTTGAAGGATACTACCTTTGTGGAGCTTCCTGATAAGCGTGTGAGAATACTGATAGAAGAAGACGTTCCAGAGGCACACTGGCCCATGGAGAAAAGGTTCGGCAAGCAAAAGAAACCCTACACCGTAAAGACATCTTTGGGTTGGGTTCTACTTGGTCCGTTGTCTATGGGACATAGAGTCTGGAGACATATGCACCATGTAAGTACAAAAGATTATGACATCACTGCTCAATTAAAAGCTATGTATGGGGCTGATTTCAACGATTTAAAGACCCCGGGCTTATGCCAGTGTCAAAGACAAGGAAGAGCCTCGAATCGTTGAAGAGTCTTCAGTGCTCAGGGATGTTCAATACGAAGTAACATTACCGTGGAGAACGGC